CATCTCGGATATAAACTCATTAGAACTGGAACATATCAATTAAACTAGAGCATGAAGAGATTCCCCTCCTCTTTTTATTTTGTTTTTTGTTTTAAATATTATTTATGTTTCTTTGACTAAAATGTTGAATCTTATTTCTTCAAAATATGTTACCTCATTGTCTCTCTTTCAATTTAAGTCATCATTTTCTTCTACTTGTTCTTCTAATTAATACTGCATTTCATCATTTTCTTCTACTTCTTCTTCCTCCAAAATAAAATTGAATAAGAACACCAAAAGTGCCCAAGGATTAAAGAGAAACAAGCAAGAACTAAGAAACTCCATTAATAAGAAGGCCCAAATCTTATAATTGAATAAATATTACACCTATGCAAACTACAGTTATAAAATGGGCAGAATAGAGAGAGAGAAGGAAAGAAAAGGCTACGACTCTTCTTTCTCATTGCAGTCCTCTGTTTCTTCCTCTTCTGTAATGGTCTCCAAAGCAGGGCACACAGACGCCCTGTTTGGGAGAACATACAAAGCTGGTGCTTTCTCCATCCAACTCAGAATCTGAACCTTCTCACACATTGTTTTAAACCCAGAAATGAAGCTTGATCCTACACCTCGAAACGGGAACTCGAACGATTGGCCGAACCGAGCTCTGGTTCTGAGAGAAGTGTGAAGATGATCGGCTTTGATGGGGGAAGTGGGGAGTGGAGTTCTTACTTATAAAAAGGGGTAAAACCGAGTGGGTCAACAAACCAAACCACATGGGAAGTAAACAATTACGCCCATGGCTTTCATCACATGTGAAAAAGATTTGTTTTTTTTTCCACATACAAACTCTGCTCAATAAACTACACCATGTGAAACAACATAATGGGAACGGAATGACCTGGAATTCCAACTATATTGGGGGTTGTTGGCTCGGTTTGGGAGAAAATGTTTATTAAATACAACCTTTTTCCCCATCATCTTTACACTTGTTTTGTTCTGCGATGCTTCAATCTCTTTAGAACCTGCGAGTGAAATCAGCCATTGCAACAGTTGCATTTCAAACAGAGATGCAAGGCATACGATCATCTGAATCGGATTTCTATTCACAAGAAAAGGATTGAAACTATGAGAACTAGTAATGAATAAATAGAAAAGGGGACTGAAACTGCAAAAACTAATGAATGAAATGGGTTTATGAATCCTCATCATATTCCTCTGCAACATCTTCTTCGACAATGGGTTCCAACGATGGGATGGGAGAGGGTTTCGGTCGGTAAGTGATGAGAAATGGAGCAACCTCAACCCAAGAACTCAATTTCATGACGTACTTCGGCATTGGTAGAGTGAGTTCCTAGGGAATGAGGGAAATTGCAAAGCTTTCTAATTTATTTCAATCTTCCCTCTTCCTCCTCTACAAGTAGAGAGAGAGAGATTTGATACTTCTTTCTAGTGAGATCAAAACAAATGACAATTCACCTCTTCTAATATACGATGGAAGAAACCCAACTGAGAATTGAGTTTGTTATGAAGATGGAGGTGGTTCACACAGACAGATGAAGGGAAGGTAAACGGAAGCACAGAAAAATAAGGAAAGCAATTGCTTAATAAGGTAAAGACTGAATGAAAGGTGATTTTTAGATGCACGTGGAAGAATGCAGAGGAATGGTCAGAAATAGAAACTCAAAAACAGTATCCAACTCCTATTTCTAGCGTTCTTGTTTGAGAGAAACAACAAAGCCCACAGATAACAGAATTACCAAAAAACTAGAATCACTTTCGGGATGTACGTTTTAGTTTCAATGGTTTAAAAGGTTCTATTCCAAATGAAGAAACCAATGCACAGGGAGAACTTAAAACTACTCTTTCTAGGTCACTACAAAGAAGTTGACTTCAATGATCTTATTCTTATTAGTATGAAGTGGAAGAAAGGATCAAGAAGGAAATACTAGAAGCGTTTATCCAAGCAGAAATCACCATACAGATTTGACTCAAAATCCTGAAAGACAGCATGCAAGTTACACAAAATCCAGTATTCTACATAGATATAGACGAAAAGAAACTACAAGCAGCAAACGAATATATCTATGAATTAATGTCATTAATTAAATAAATTAAAGATAACCATTGATGTCTTAAAGAGGCAACTGATTACATGATTCACAGTTGCTATTTGTTCAGAATGCAGCCAATCTAGTTTGCTACACCAATCCATAGTTCCTGAAGAATAAGAAATTTCCTGAAAAGATTGCTCGGCATAACCAAACAAATTATGAACTGCCCCAGTATATTGATGGAAAGATAAAAGATTGTATAAGGTGTCCTTCGAGGAGTGGCTAAACAATCAAGACTACAAACACACAAAAAACAATATACTAAAAATTATCAGAACAAAATAGCAACTAATGATATCAATCAAATCAACATTAATAGTAAATCATGGTTTAACAGCTTCATCATGCCAAAAAAAAAACCTTAGTTTCAAGTCTAAAGAGGTTAGGAAAATTAGTATTTATCAGTTCTTCAACAGTACAAAAAGAATTCCAGATATGCGACTTCTTTTTGTAATATCTAGAAACATGTTTTTCATATGAGTAAATGCACAGGCACCTTGATTAGCAGAAGAAAATAAAGGCCACAACAAGCTCACAAATTGGGCTACATCTTGATGATTCAAAATGTCAGCTGTCTCATAAAATTACCCCATGTAAGTGTAGTGCGATATTCTAGGACCAAACTACACAAGATTTAACCAGATGCTTAAAATGATTACGGACTTAAGAGAGTCTACAGACAGATCGCAGGACCCAATTCATCTGGAAAATATTGTTTCCAATGAGGAAATATGATGCACAGACGAATTACAATCAACACAAAGAATGCTAAATAATAACGCGACCACTAATTCAAGATCAATGAACAAACAAAAATGAAACCGCCTCCAGAAAGAAAACTTATGACCTGCGTTCAGATTAACGAAGGAATCATAAAAGGGATATTCTCAATAATACAACCGGAAATGCAACGATTTGAATAAAAAACAAAGAGTCCAAACTTCAATTCAAAATGGAACCACAATGCTTTCATCCACGAAATGAAATGAAACAACTTTCCAACATTAAATAAATCCTTTTATCCGTAGATAGTCATTTGAAGAGAGTAAAAAGAGACATTTAAATATTCAAAATTGAAACTACAAAATAAGTTCGAAGGCGAAAAATTCACTCTCAATTCTGGGGAATTTCAACATCCCCATCAGTAATTTCCTGCTGCAAATCCTTCGGGTCCTTACCGTCGACCGTACATCCAACAGAAACGCAAGTACCGAGTATCTCCTTGACGGTTCCACTGAGATCCTTAGCCATAGACCTGGGGCTCATAACCCTAGCGATCTCAATCACATCATCAAGCGAGATATTACCATTGTGCTTGATGTTCTTGGTCTTCTTTCGATCACGCTCAGGCTCCTTGAGGGCCTTGATGACCAAAGCAGCAGCAGATGGCACCACCGAGACCTTGGCTTGACGGTTCTGCACAGTGAGCTTGACAGTGACCCTGAGACCCTTCCATTCCTTGGCCGTCTCCTTGGCAATGTCTTCTCCGATCTTCTTAGGGGAGAGACCTAGAGGACCGATTTTAGGAGCGAGAGAACTGGCCGCTCCGACCTCACCTCCAGTAACTCGGACGAAAACATCGACAACCTGAGAAGGATCGAACTTGGGCGGCATAATTGAATAATAGGATCAGTTGAATTGAATTTCTGTGTTCAGAGGCGACGGGCGGAGGCGAAGATCGAACTTCAAAGACAGAGTAAGGCATTGAAGGAACGTATAAAAGCTAGGGTTTTACGGATTGGGAGCCGTGAAATTACTCAATTCTCCTTTCTCATCCCGCTATCACTTACGTTTTGGGCTTTCTGGCCCATTTTTCTTTTTCTCCCCCAGAAAGGGCCCATTATTAAGGCTATCGATTTTGTTTTTTTTTTTTTTTAAGTCACAATTTAAAATTTTAAAAATTAATTTTTCTTAGTTTTCAAATCTTGTTTTGTTTACAAGTTTAAATTAAAATGATGCTCATAATTTTTAAATATAATCCTTTTAACTCTTCTAAAGAAAAAATTTCAAAAACAAAAACAACTTTTTCAAAATTATTGTTTTTATTTTTAAAATTTAGCTTCAATTTTGACATAAAAATAAAAACACAAATAAAAGAAATCAATCCATGAAATAAGTGTTAACAAAAAAAAAATTAAAATTTGAATGTTGATATCAAAATTTGGGTTCATAAATTTCATTTTTCACTTTAAATATAACACTACGACGCTTCAAACTACAAATTAGTCATCAAATCCATTATTTCACATTTGTTGTACTAAAAAAATAGTCTTAATTTTGGAGACAACAGAAGCTATTTGGTTAGGTCAGTTCTCAGCTCATGTGCAGTATGTTGTAGCAAAAATTTTCCATGTGACCAAACAATTTAGCTAAATTAGCTCTAACAGATGACACTGGTTGTCTTGTTGTCCATCTCAATCAATTGGTCAAATTGCATCAATTTTTTATTTTTTAAAAAAAAAACATTATATAAAATGGACATAAACACGAAACTTTAACAACAACAATACTTCTCTCTAATCTCTATCTCTGAGTATTGAAACTTTGACAAGTTTAAGGTAGCTTTGTGGAATAGATAATATATATATATGGTGGGAAGGGAATTGCACGATATTAATTTCGAGACCTAAAGAGATGAAGTACCCATCGTTATTCACCTACCCTTTAGCAGAAATATGGAGAAAAAAGAACAGCATCATCAAATTCAATGAGATATTGATATTGTTTTGTACATGAGATCCTAATTTACCTAGACATAACTCGACTAATCAAGTAATATGAGAACAATCAAGAGTTTAGAAGTCTAAACTACCCCACTCACACTTTTTGTTGAACTCAAAATAAAAAAAAAAACAAAAAAAAAAACTAACTTTTTAGTTTTGTTGACTTGGCCCTTCAACTATTTGGAAAGAAATCCCAAGAAAGATGAGAGTTGGATTGTGATGATAGTGAGAATTTAAGGCTAGACTTGCCTCATCTGTGAGGGAAAGAGATTGGTAAAATGAAGTGATTTTATTCACTCATTATTATCTCAATTCTCAATCAAACCCATCAAAAACCTACACGTGTACATCAAAATTTCCAAATTTGCACGGTATAATTTAGAAACAAAAAAGTAGCTTGTGAGACAATAACTAAAAAGAAGCTAACTTTCTCCTATGGAATCTCACCGAGAAGCTAATGACCAAAAGTTCAAGAGAAATGAAGGTGAAACAGCAAACCAGCTAATGAAGGCCATTGCAGTAGCGGACTCGAATTGCGCACAGTGGTTAACGCCACACTTGTTAAGATCGTTGCCTATGAGAACAGTAATCCCAGCTGATGAGCATGCAGCAGAAAATGTAAGGGTGGATGTAATCTGCAGGAAGACACAGTTCGTTATCTATATCCACGATTATAATTGCTAATTGAACTTTAAGAAATTGAATAAACTAAAGTTATATTGGTTTAACAAGTTGATTCAAATATAAGAATCAATATCATACTATATTATGATTACCAAAGAGTAGAATAACATGTCAGGCTCATTCCTTCGTATTGGTAGACTCAGCATTCCATTGGGATGCTTTTTCTATTACAACTCACAAATAGGCGAACCCAAATAAGCTCCTTGAGTGAGATTCCATTTCGATTGGAAAGAAGAACGAGAACCATCAAGGCCGTTGAACCTTAAGGGGGTGGATTGTGAGATCCCATATCGTTTGGAGAGGGGAACAAGTGCCAGCAAAAATGCTGAGCCTCAAAGGGGGTGAATTGTGAGATCTCACATCGGTTGAAGAGGAGAACAACACATTCTTTATAAAGGTGTGGAAACCTCTCCCTAATAGACGCGTTTTAAAAACTTTGGAGGGAAGCCCGAAAGGAAAAGCCCAAAGAAGACAATATCTACTAGCGGTGCGCTTGGGCTGTTACACATGGATTTTCATTTCTCATTGTTGATTTTTGCATTTTTGCAAACCAAGCATAACCACAGTATCCAATAAAAACTAAATGTCAATCTAAGAATTTTATGAAAACCGTGTGACTTCAACAAGCTCCTGGATTGCACATCACGTATCAGACTACAAATCTAAGATGCATGCAGATCTAATATGTGTGCTTGGCATGCAAATTATTCTTACCGCATCACCAATGGTGAATAAACCAACTATTGAGCAGTTTTGCAAGCTTCGTCTGACTAACAAGGCATATGCATCAACTACTGCCAATGAAAAGCTCCACAAACATTGCAAGCCAGCAGCAGCAACAAGATATCTGAGATAAATGATAGACCATTATAATTGCATGTGAACAATTGAACACAAAGTTGATGGCTCAAACATACAAGATATCTAAAAATCACAAGTTTTGATCATGAATAACATTCTCCAACAGAACAAACTTCTTCGTGAGAGAAACAACTAATCAGTTTTCGGTGTCCTAAAGAAAAATGCTAGAACAGAAGATGAGATACCTTCCGAACTTTCAAAAACCAACCAAGGTTGCAAAAAACTCCGGTTGGTATTAATAGAATGATGAAAATTACCAACGAAAAATTCTTGATCACAAGCAGTGTTGTTGAACTGACGTGAAACGTATAGAAAATCTTTTCATCGAAAATTTGAACTTGATCATGAGCTGAATAATCGACAAACAGCTATTTGCTGAAAGAAAATAGTGATTTCAATAGTGTTTTTCTTATCCACTCTGTGGGGAAAATAATACAGCACTAACAATAATAAATCCCTCGAATCCTCAAACAAAACTGAACGACACAAGACTCTTGATTTCCTTCTTGTTGAACACGCTCAAATTTAAGGCGACAACTTTTCTACGTGTCTATTTGCACTTCCCTCTGTACCCGAGGGCTACATCGCGACTCACAACACATCGAAAACGCTAGACCTCGGCGATAGTGTAATACAAGTTATTGCTATCACCATCAACAGAGGTTAAGGTCCATCCCTAAGAATATTGGACAGGAAGTACAATTACCAAAGACCTGTTCTTGGGCAGAATCATTGGCAAGTAAAGACGAAAAAACACGCGTTCTTAATGGATAAAATATTCTGAACGACGTCGAAATCACGCTAAATATATCTAAACTTAACCAGCATCCTAGTTTCAGCTCATTGATTCTGTAACGTGCAGATTATCACAAACAAAACATCGAAAAGTTACACAGAGCCGGACACACTGAGACAAAAATTGAAGAATTACGTACCGAAACGCCGTGACGGAAGGGAAATCACTAGTGGTGGCCATAACACACAGAGAAACTGCAGCAAATATGAACTGAAGGAGACGAAGTGCAAGTCCACCTGTTGTACCAGGCATACCCTGCACATCCTTCATCCTAACTCTCGGCCCATTGTGTACCGCTCCTTCCGTTAGTGGTGGCGCCTCAACTGGATGCACCGAAGGCCGGCTCACGTTCATCACGTATCTAACTGTTCAAACAATAAGCTGAAACAAAAGTTCTTTCGCGTTCATTCCATAATTCAGAACCCTAATCGGTCGCAGCCGAGCCAACACAGCACAGAGAGAAAGATGAAGAAGTATAGCCACTCAGTCGAAGGCCGTGCACTCTATTCAATCAAAGAGCGAGTGGAAGATCCGAAGTCCATAAAATCGTCATCGCCTCCATCGAAAACAGACACCGGCCACCACTTTTAGTAAGGAAGCGAGTAAACACCGAGAAAGGGGAAGCAGCAGCCACGGCCAGAGGTGTGGAAGAAATTCGAATGGGCCGTACATGGGCCGACCCATTCCAAATTTCTGAAAAGTTTATTGGGCTTAAATATATAATGGCTCATTTCTTAAATTTCCACAAACAAATGCGACATGTCGCTTTCTTAGTCAGGAACGAGATCAGTGTCGGCATAGTTATGCGTTGGGATGTCGGTCAAGACCGTGGATTTTAAGTTGACAACAAAATGTGGGGCCCACCGCACGGGTGATGTTTCGGATGCCAATAAATTAAATAATAATACCATTTCCCGTCACCACCTTTTTTGTTTTTACTAATAAAATAAATATTATTTTGCTGTTTTTAATCTCTACGGATTTAAATCATAAACTTTTAGTTTCATCCAATTCAACCTTAAATATATAATTTTTTTTTTTTTATGTTTGGTTCAATTCATACGTGTATACCAATTAGGTTAGAAAAATCTTTTGAACTAACTCGATCCAATTCAATTGACCTGAGCAAACTGAGTTCACAATTTAAATCAACTTAACCCTCTTTGTTCGAGTAGGGATGGGTTGGTTGCCAGATTATTTTTTTTAATTATACTTATCCACCGTACATAATACATTAACAACTAAAATTTCATAAATCTCAAATATTAAACCTTTGCGAGTTACAACACATTACTAATATGCATTACAAATGTTAAATATTCTTAAATCTTTATAATAATCTCAAAAGTGGGGTATGATGAAGTTGGGTTGTAACTCGACCATAAAAAATGGCAATCCATAAATTAATCAAAATTTTCGATTTTTAAAAAATTCAGCTCAACCCAATAAAAAAATCTAATCAAACCCAAACCAAGTTCGGGTTGATAGGGCTATCGAGTCATTTGAACACCCCTAGTTTAGTTTTCGTTGGTTTACTCACTAATTAGTAAATAAGATGTCAATTATCATTACAACGCTTGATAATTCAATTTTCACTTTTACAATCACGGAACGAAAAAATTTGATCAAAAGTATCAATTATCATTCTATCGCTCCATTATTGTTTTATTAACATATACGTTTATATACGTAACTCAATGTTTACTAGCACGTGAAATTTGTCAGTTTTATTTTTACTTAATTGATTAAAGTATATATTCTCGCTAGTAATTATTGAGAATTTGAACGATTGACTTAAATGAATTAAAATAATGTTTACCTGGTTTTTAGGACTTTGGATCTCTCAAAAACCCTAAGAAAGAAGACTGACGTGACCGTAATTCTAAAGCAAAGGAAACCCTAATTAAAGGCGCACATGATTTTGTTGGTCTCGCTGTTTTATTGCCTATTTGCTGAAACGGTGCCGTATTTGGTGGCGAAGAAACTTAACATAAAAAAAATAAATAAAATGGAAAGGGTTTATGTCTTCCTCAGTTTGAATTGAGGTTTTTTTTTGTTATTTATTTGGTCTTTTAAATTTATAAATTTATTTCTTGAATTACAAATCTATTTCTCGAAAGTATTAATTTAGGTTTATTTTATCGGTCAATTAAAAAAAAAATCGAAAAAGTAAGAAATAAATTTGTATTTAAAAAATAATAATATTTATTGAAAAAACAAATAAAACGAAAAGGTAAAACCAAACCAAACAGTCCACACGACGAAACGCCGGGTCACAAGCAGCGAGCCACTCCGCCCTCAATGAGATGACGTCAGACACACGTGAATCTTTATGAAACCTCGCCACGTAAGCTCCAAATGGTCCCACATTCAACGTGTCATAAATAATGAGATTTTTTATTTTATTTCATTCCTTCATTATTTACACAAATAAGAAGCATTTAATAATTGTGACATGTCAAATGTTGAATACAATTATAATGTTTTTTTCCATAATTTCCAATATTTTATTTTTAATTGTTTAAAACCATATTCTAATTTTGACTTTCTATTGATAATCCCTAATCCCAATAGAAATAAATTAATATATTTTAATATTTAATTTATTGCCCCACGAGACTCATAATTTTCTCTTTTTTAAAAAAAAATTCCAACCCTCATAAAAAAAAAAAAAAAAAAAAAAAAAACCTTGTACTACTTCCCAATCTCTCTAGCTTGTTTCGGTAGAGAGCCGGTCAAAAAGATTGAGAAAAATCGATCATTCGTAACCACTGATCAAGGATGTCTCGTGAACGCGAGACAACGGCTAACACATGAGGAAGTAAGCAAGTTTCAAAATTCAAACATTCCCTCCACAAGTTGGATTGGGGAACAAACTAATCATTATAAGCAAAGCCAAAATAATGAGCTTTCACAGTTCAAAATACCTTGAATATTAGCAGCAGCTCCCTGATATTCACCATTTGTACAATTGAAATCAACTCGCCGAATTCGTAACAGGTGACAAAGAAGAAAACGAAAGAAAAACGAACTACGTGCGAAGGCTCTTTGCGAGAGAGTAGTTCATCCCGAGTCAGAGAAAAGTAGCTTGCTCTAACCTCCTCCTAAATTGTTACTTCTGAATCTATAGAATTGTCAATCTTCTTGCTGTTTTGATGAAGTCGCTGAAACAGAAAACGAAGCGTTAATCGATCGGAGATGCAATGGAAACGATAATTTTAAGGCAATATTTCAGTGTTGCAGAAGGGAAGTAGAAACGTGCCTGAATTGTTCGTCGCCGACGTGCTTGACAGCACCGGAAACATCACGGTACAAGACATGGTTCAATGTCTCTGAGTTATCTATATCAAACATGTTTCCAAGTTTTGTGTACAATTCTTCATAAGACCCAAGTGAAGAAAGATCAAGGGTGCGACCTACATCTTCTGATTCCATGAAGACTTTACAGTGGCCTGGATCAACGTTAGGCTCGACTTCTTGCCGATCATCCTTGTAACATTGGAAATTTTCGCAAGACGAGGCTTCCAATGGACGTTGTTGATGCAGAGAAGATCCAGAACCATCAGCGCCTTTCTCCATTCTATCTCCATTTCCTTCTGGCGAGCTATTTCCAGTACCAACTGAGGAAACAGTATCGCCGGAGTAGGTTTGAGACATATGCAATTCGGTAAGTATGGGTCGACCAAAAAGTATTAGTTGAGGAGTCTTTACGCCGTCGCATTTCTTCGAGGCTTGAGTAGAATGTGCCATGGTTAGCAAGCAAGATACATTTTCACTCATACTTGGCTTTTCAGTCATTGCATTACAAGAAAGTGTAGCTGACTCAGCAGCTGGATCGGGTGATCGATAACCAATCGGAAACAAACCTGAGTGCAATTTACTGAGATGAAAATCTGATAAGGATAGACCAAAATGAGCATGCCTGGCTCCCTGCATGCCAGCAGAGTTGTTGTCGGGAGGACAACCAAAAGGGCTGCCGGAACCGTGGAGATAACTAGAGAACAATGGCATAGGAGGCAGGTTATCGAGGGGGAAATCAGGGTGTTGTGGATGTCTGAACTTTTTCCTTGGAGATGAGAATGGGGCAATGTGTATGGGAGACATGTTCGATACCGATTCGACCAACCACGGGCTAATGCGTTTCACATTCTGAAGTAAATCCGGTTCATCCCAAGTAACCTGCAACGAACATGTTATTAGCAAGTTAGAAGGTAAGGATTCTTTCGAGTTTTCCCTCAAGATTTTTAAAACGTGATTACTAAGGAGAGATTTCTATACCCTTGTAAAAATGTTTCGTTCTCCTCTCCAATCGATGTGGGATCTCACAATCTACCCCTTCAGGGACCAAGTGAACTTGCTGACACTGGTTCCCCTCTCCAATCGATGTGGGATCTCACAATCCACCCCCTTCGGGGCCCAATGTCCTCGTTGGCACACAGACTGGGGTCTGACTTTGATACCATTTGAAACAACCCAAGTCCACCGTTAGCAGATATTGTCCTCTTTGAGCTTTACTTTTCAAACTTACTCTCAAAGTTTTTGAAATACGTGAGACGTTTCCACACTTTTATAAAGAATGTTTCACTCCCCTCTCCAACCGACGTGAGATCTCACAGTTTTCAACTTAGCATCATATCTTAACAAACACTCAACTTATAAACATCAATGTTCTAAAGCAGACAACATATTCATTCCTGAAACATCATGTTCTGAATACATTGATTACTAGCAATGAATGCAGACAAGGAGAAAAGAACAGTGTTTACCAGAAGAAGCCTCCATGGTGACTCTGGCCAGCGTAGTGGGTCAGCGACCTGAACCGAATTGACGGTCCCCATGAACCAGCTAATACGAGACGAGTCCTCGGTTTCGAAGGCCATCTTGAACCTCATACCTGAGCACCACCGGATCTGCAACGCTGCTTTCACCAGTGCTGCCTTGACACAGAATTCAGGAGTGCTAGCTCTTGGGTAGAATACTATTTCGAAGGGCTGCCCATTTGCAGCAAGTGTAGCAGCTTCAATTACTGATTCAGCCTTCACTTTCCCCTTTCCCATAAGACTTTCATTAGCAGAGAAAGCTCCGTAAGGGACTGCACCATTCCATCCACACGACGAGTCTGGACCATCTCCAGCTCCCCTCTTCGCCCGCCTAATCCCGACGCAGAGATCACCATTTTCAGCTCTCAAGAACACAATGGAATCCCCGGCAACAAGCTTCTTATGGTTAACAAAACTACTCCAGCCAGTGGTCAAAAGATGCCGCCGAGGCGTCCCCCTATAAATGTGCCTGAATTTCCATGTCTCGCCATGAACATCCTTAGCAAGAATGGTCTGAACCGGCGGATCAGCAGAGTAATCCAACGGAGGGAAGATGGTTTCTGCACAATACCTTGGAACAGAGAAACCCCCTCCATTGTTAGCATCAGACTGAGTCAGTGTCTTTGCAAACGAAGTTGGCTTATCCTGTTCAGACCCATTAAGCCGCCCAATTCCATCATCAAAATCTAGTTCACTTCCATTTATGGGTATCAACCTAAGTTTGGCAAAGACTTCGTCGGTGTCAGGATCCGCAAGGAAATTGATAGCAGAAACTCTGCAAAGGGTATATGAAGGAAGCTTCGGACAAGTCCTGAAATCAACTGGGGGGGCACAAGCATGTTCGGCATGGCCTTGAGGAAAATAGAAAACCCTGGCGTTCACCGGCGGCATGTGAACCATTCCTCCCGCACAGGCATGCCATAGCTGAGGATCTAAACATTTCTCCATCTCCCTCGATTTCTCTTTCGAATCCATAAACGTAATCATCTCAGATGAAGGCAATCAATTGCTGTGTCAATCAGGGAAAACCCCCACATGAGAAACACAGATTACAGCGCAAAACCCACAAACTCAAATTGGGTAAAACCCTCTTTGATTCGAAACTCGAACAGAATCAAAACAAAAATGAAAACCCAGAGAGGAATCAGAGGTGCTCAAAAGAACGTGGTATCAATAATCATCTGGTTCTTCGTGTTGGTTCTTGTTCAAGGATTGAATGAGTGAGGAGTGAGTCGATGGCCGACAGAGAGGCAGATAAAAAAGCCTCGGACAGTCGCAGAAGAGAAGAGAGAGACGGAAGCTTTTGGATCATCAGGATCATGCAAGTGTTAAGAAGCAGAGAGCAGAAGTAAAAAAAATTAAAAAACAAATTAAAAAACAAATGGAAATAAAGGGATTTCTTACCTTTTTCTTCGGATCTGAAGAAAGAGTGCGAGGCTATGTTGAGGAGACACCAAAAAAACAAAGATCTTTAAAACCCATCCTATCCTTTTCCTCTCTCTTTCTCTTTATTTTATTAAAAAATTTCCAACTCTCTTCTCCTTCTCTTACATATTTGATTTAGTTCAAACAACTGGGCCACAATTAAGAGTTAGTAATTTTTCTTTTCCTCCTCCTAACGATAATAAATACATTATATCGTATGTAATCGTTTTTTATTGAATTGTTCGTTAAAATATTTGATATAGATTATTAATTAACCACAAACTTTTACGCTTCTTTAATTTTCAAAATGGATAAAAAATCGATTGATACTTCTTCGTGAATGGTAATAAAAAAAACAACCCATAAAATTTAGGAATTTTTGTTTTTACAGTTTGTATATGGAAAAAGCAAAAATGAAAAAAACATTTACCGTTTTAATTATTTTAGCTCTAAGAAATGGTAAAAATGGTAAAATCAACCGTTTTTGTAGGTTGTGGATAGTTGTTATGTCGTGTATTTAAACGTGGCTCAACATAATGTATTAAAAGTTTCATTTTTTTCACCCTAAAATTTAAATTTATTTCAAAATAACTCTTAGGTCAACCATTTAGTTAGAATGAATATTAAAAGGTGACGTGACAATGACCTATAAAAATTTCATTATATCCTTAAATTTTTAGATGTGCTTCAATTATTTCTTAGCGAATAAAGGCGAGCAACGAAGGGAGTGTGTTTTTCTCCCGAGTTATGTTTGGATATACCTTTCGTTTTCTATATTTTTCTCCATCATAAATTTTAACATTATATATCCAACATTAATTTGGTGGAACGAATAATTTTATCTCATAATAAAAAAATTACGTGTTGTGTTTAAAAAGAAAAAAGAAAAAAGAATTGCGTGACAACACCGACGAATCTGTGGAGTTGACGCGCGTCGGCCTGGTCTTCGAAGCTGTAGAATCTGTTTTTAATTGAAACATGAAAGTAGAGATTCCATTTTCAAGGGCCAGTTTTTTCTACTACGACATAAAAAAATATTAAAAAAAGTGAAAAATATGGACGCTCTTAACCAAGCGCGTGGGGAAAGTGGTCGAGACAAGTATCATGTACTTGCTGTACTAACGGTCGGATGATTCAGATCTCGGTGCGCGGTAAAAATAACTGACCCATTTTACCTTTTTCAATGGTCAAATTCTATATATATTCTTCTTTTATTATTTTTACACACGTGGTTAATAACTCCCTTAATATTCCTTTTTAGTTTCTTATTTAATTATCAAAATTCCGTACTCATGAAGACCTAATTCCAAAATCCTATTAAAATATTACATTTTTCTTTTTATAAAATTTTAACAATATTTTTTATTATAAAATTAATGTACACAAATTTATTTAGCGGAGATTAAAGACAAAATAATTATTTTTCTTAATAAAATTTAATTTTATATCAAATAATTTTTTAACTCCATTAAATTATATATATATCTTAGTTTCTAATAAAAAATTTATGAACTTATAATATATTTTTCAATCTTTTAGATGCTTTTTAATAATAGACATAAAATGATTGACTTATATATTATTTATATATAAGTTTTTATTTATTACACATGTGATAGAAAAGTACTAAGGAAGAATATGTCACGTCTAACATTAATATTTTTACACATTTATTTTGTAACGCTGAGATACTGTTTTAGGTGGGGGATCTTTAGCGTTTATTATGTTCCCTATAAATTTCTTACCATAATGGTAAAAAATAGTTAAGATATAAGTAATCATTTATATCGTCATTTTAGTACGAAGATTTTGGATATTAAAATGAAAATTGCATATTATGATTTGAAGTCATGAGCTCGTTCTTTTGCAATTATTGTGTTTAGATTTGCATGTTAAAGTCATTAAGCAGTATTGATCAAACTATCGTGTAGAGTGATTCAAATCACAAGTTTTATTTACTCTTTATTTTAATCATTAAGGCAATCCATACCAAAACTTTCACTTTAATTGATTTTTTATTGTTTGTGGGGTTCTTGGATAATTTAGATGTTTAATTTTTCAACAAAATTGTCCGATCAAATCCGAAGATGTTCACAACCATTTAGATTTCTTCTCAAGTAAAGTTTATAAGATTTCAAACTTGTAACTTTTATTATATCATATTTTTGTGACGTAACAGTATAATCTCATTGCTAGCATATATTGTTTGACTTGTCATCGTCTCATTGCTAGCAATATATTGTCCACATTAGCATGTTACGCATCGTCGTCAACCTCACAATTTTAAAATATGTCTACTAGGGAGAGATTTCCTCCACACCCTTACCCTCTAACTTGACGTGGGATCTCACACGTCAGGTCAAAAATTTAAATCTTTAACTTTTACCCATTAAAAAACTATAAATATTACTTTAGACATTTTTTTAATCAACCAAGTAGGAATTTAGAGAATTGAGTCTTTGATCTCGAAGAAAGGAGTACTTATCAATTACTGCTAAGCTATATTCGCTTTGACAATCTTAGTTTCAACTTAGGAGTTATGAACATTGTCGCGTACACAACAAAAACAAACAAATGTTTTTAAAGATCGAGTATGTGGAAACGAGGAATAAAGAAAAAGGCATGGAAAGATCGAGTACTCAATGTTTTTCTCCTTTTACGTTCCTTTCCAATTGGTTGTCATTGTGTTGTTCACTAACCCCACATTGTCACAAGTCTTCCCCTTTTGATCGAGACTTACTAACCATTAAAAAAAACGCACATATATTCCTTAAAGATCTGAAAATCGATGTATATTGATAAAATAATTTCCTTCCGACATTTAACATTTCAATTCAAATACTTTCAACAAATTTTACTAATTAAAAAAATTATCAATAATATTTATTGATATTTATATTTGAACTAAATAATTTTAGGTTTAAAATAATGGGAATTAATGTGTATGTATACGTTGAGGAACCCAAAATTTAATATTTTAGGAATTTTTTGAACATCCAAATTTAATAGGTGAAATTAAAAAAAAAAAAAAAAAAAAGTATATATATTTGTGGTGTGCGTGTCACGTGTGCCCCATTTGACGGTGATGTGTCTGACAAGAGATTCTTCCACGTATTAATGGAGGCAAGCATTGACGTCAAAGAAAATAAATTAATGTTAAAAAATAAAAATAAATCCCATCTCACCGTCAAATCGACGGTCCTTGGTTACTCCTCTCTCCTCCTTGGCGGGTCCCACTTGACCTCACCACTTTCGCTTCTACCGGCCACGTGTTGGAGGGTCCACGTCAGCTTACCGTTTCCATTTGTTTCTCCCTCCCGGAATCTGTTGGTTTTTTTTTCTCATGTCGATAGTGCGTTTCCGTTTTTATTGCTCATTGCCGACTTGTCGTTTTCCCTTTTACTCTCCCACCAATCATCATTCCCCCTCCGCCCCCACTACAATTCGAATATTTTTATTAGTTTTTATTTATTCATTTATCCATTTTAATTCTAAATTTTAATATTTAGCTTTCCAATTACAAATATTACCTAATAAATTTTGTTGATGGTTTAGTAATTAGAGTAATTTTTGAAGTAGCTTCGATAAAAAGAACGGTTTTCTACACTAAAAAAAAAAAAAAAGAAGGTTAGACCTTTGCTACCCGAAAAAATAAATATTTGAGCTCTGAGTAGGAAAAAAAAAACAGTTGAGATTTTTAGAATCAAAGGAGTTAAAGCATTTGGAGTCGATAGAGATTCATAGAACAAAAGAAGTAGAAACATTCAGAAACATCCTAACTCCCGAGCTGCAGTCAATCCTATTGCATGCACTTACAATGGGTCTATTGCTAACTAGAGTGTTGATTTTAAATGAAATAAAACAAAAATACATATAAATCACTAATTAACAGATTGGTTCAGAGCTTAAATTGATTCTTCATAATACTTCATTTTAATTCTTTTTTTTTTTTCGAACATATTTTAAATATGGCTTGATATAGTCAGAATTGTTCACTGTACTAGAACAAGAGAAGTCAGTTGAGCATTTGATTAGTTTCTAAAAAAACAGACACGGGCATGCTCGCAGTCGCAGTCGCTGCTAGACCCTACGGTTCTTTTCATCTCTAAATAATCTCACCAACTGCAAGTGGGATGCGATTATCAACGTCCATACTTTACTATTTACCTATTAAAGGCCACCCGACAAAGCCCTCGCACAGAAACTTCTATTTTCGCCGTTCAAGGTATTTCGGTCTCCCCACCCAACTCCCCTTTTGTTTTTATACTCATCGTTATTCACCAATTCAACCAGTCAATCGTTCATATCGAGACGAGATGGGCCTTTCCCTGTAACCATGAACTGTGTTTTGTTTTTTTTTTTTTTTAATGCCCACAACACGTTCGATAGAATGCCTGAAAGACGACCTTGCCTTTTCTTTTGGGCAGCTGGTTGTTGTGTTGTTGACACTTCGCAAAATCAATATGTTGGAAATTTTAGTTTGTGGGGTTGGTTATTATTTTGCGATCAAATGGGTTGATACTCAAAAAGTTCTAGAGGTTGGCTTTGATTGAACGCATGTTCTCTATGCTATGCTGTGTTTGGGTTGATATTCGACCCTCTTTAAGTTATGCTAGTTTAGTCTGAATTTAAAAGAAATCCTTTGACAAACGAATTAGCTAGAAGAATTGTAAGGGTAAAACTTGCATTGAACTTGGTTGTGAACTTTAGACCTATTTAACGCAATGATTTTGTCTATTCAAACTTATGTTGTGAATTTGACAAAAAT